TATGCTAATTCCTTTGTCAAGGCGCTTTGTTTCTTCTCACACAGCTTAAAGGTCGCGATCTGAGCGTGGCTTTTTCACTCCAGCGCTGTCCTCCAGACAGTCTCGTCCCCTTCACCTAATGAAGGCCGCTTGTGTTGTGGCCGAAACGTCGTGAGAATATTATTGTGTTATTTTATTTTATCAATTTATTATTTTATTCTCATTCTACGTGGTGACTTTACCGAAAGAACCAAAGAAGATGAATCCTTGCAGTCACGAAAGCTTTAAAAATCGAAATTCATGCCGCCTGAATTTAGAGCCCCCGTGCTTTATTGTTCCAGAGTAAAACACAACGATAAGGGCACTGTAGGGTTTTGGCGAACAAACGTTTCGATTAGAGTTACGTTATCGCGTCAAAACTGTCGGAATTCCCACGAACGCTGTTAAAAACGTAAAACACGCAGCTGCGTTTCGGCCCACCGATGACCACTATATACGTGTGCAGTTCTCAGATATGTCTCATCCACATTCTGTACTGAATGAAGAAAATGGTAATAACCCACTGTCCCGCATATTTTGACTGGGAGAAGTCTGGGCGTAGTTTGGTTGCGACAACTGTGATTTCTGCATTCAAGAGCTGTTTAAAAAGTGCCCCGACCCTTCCTGTGTTAACCCGGGGAAACCCCCCCCAAGCTGCGCCCCATACGTCGATCTAATATGCACACACCCAGCGTGCAATGCAACATTTGTAACCTCATCCCTTCCCACTCCATACCACTCCTCCAACCATCTGTCTGCTGACCGAAAAGGATGCGTCGCCACGGTGCATACACCTCGGTAAGGTCAGAAGAAGAGTTGGTCAGTAAGTAAATGTAAGCAATGTTGTTAATAATAATAATCATAATAAAAATCCACGCAACTTTGATGAAAGAAAAATGTTAAGGGAAAGCGATTTAAGACTATCGTTATCATCAGCCATGATGTATCCACTTCTGGATTTGGCTTCCCAAATGTAGTTGCCATGCCTCATCACCTCGTGATCCATCGAGATTTTTAACTCAGGAGTTTGAATGGTAATCTTGCTCCATAATAGAGGGGTTTTTTTGGTTAGATCACGTAAATATATAAATGTGTCGTTAAAAACCCGCCACCACCCGACACAGCCAACTAGTAAGGGTTGTCACGTAAACGGAGCATGCCAATTCGTCACTAGTACAGCACACCGGTGTGTTGGAGAGTCAAGCCACAACTATTACAATCTGAGTACGACGTTTCGCCAGTAATTACAACTAGCTTCATCAGGCGACAGACAGATGTGGTGACCACGCTTCTGCGCCCCGTTGTGGGGGGGGGGGGGGAGATTAATGAGTCAACGTATGTTCTGCATGTGCATTATGCGAGCCATTTGATCTTGTCCTTCCTGTCCATTGTGTATTACCAACGGTAATCCCTATTGAAGTATTGTGCCCTTTAGAGACATGCATTTAAACAATGTATTATTTTATTAATCGCTTCCACATTTATACATTTACGCGATCTAACCCAAAAACTATATTATGGATGATATTGGTCGCGAAAGCCTATGTAGTAATTTTGCTGTTTGTTATTAAAACCAGCGCAGCCTATTTTGTGTGAGCAAGGCGAGTTATGTCAGAATTTACACCTTATGACATTACGACTGGTTCCAGTCAGGGGCGGAGCCAGGATTTTGACTTGGGGGGGGGGGGGGCTGACTTCAATATTCTGAGATATCCAGTGTTTATGTTTTCCAATGGGCGCCACAAATGTATAAAACAAATTTTATTGGATTTGAACGCGGAGTTTATTAATAGGTCGGAGCCGCTGATGTGGCTAATAAGTTCGATAAGTTCGAAAGGCTGCCGCTCAAGCAGCCGTCAGGGCAGCACGAGGTGGCAGCCTGCAGCATTTTGCAGCAGCCAGATATCCGGTTATCCCGATTACCGACTTTCCCAAAATTTCAGGGGGGGCAAAGCCCCCCCCCCCCCAGCCCCCCCTGTGGCTCCGCCCCTGGTTCCAGTAATAGGTTATTTTACCACCATGTTGGTCAGTGCAGGTATATTCTGCTCCACTGACCTTTGCTACCAACCACGTATCTCTACAGCCACTGCCTGTAACGCCTGCTGGACATTGACAGTCGCACAACCAAGCGCTATCCAGGCTCAACCTGCTTAACTTTCGAGATCTGCGATTTGTCGCATTGCAGATTATATGTTCATAGGCGTTGGTGGTCAGTCAAATGAATGGCAGAGTTTCTAATCGCGCGGATGAGTGCATGCGTCCGTAATTGACACTGGTTCAACACGTCCTGACATTACGATGTACTCCCGATATGCACCCAAGTGATCCTCGCTCGGATCACGGATTCGCAGCTGCACGACATTTATTTTACGATCATATTTTTTCTTTAAAAGCGCGCAGGTGCGGGTCGCAGCCGCGCTTGGCTTGAGGAGCGGGGGTTGCGGGGAAGGCGGCGGCGGCGGCGGGGTCACGGCCCGGGCACCGGCGCTGTCCCGGACCCCGCACGCCGCGCCGCACGCTCCACGCACTCCCTCCACGTGGGCTCTGCGCGGCCGTGCCTCGCGCTGATTGGCTGTGGACGCCGAGTCGTCGAAGCATCGGAAGCAATGCCACGTGCTCCCGTACTCAACAATGGCGGCGCGGATTACCCGCCTCCCTTCTCTAACCTTCCCTTTGTCTCGGAAACGTTTCGGTTTACGCAACATTCTGCGTGAAACAAGATTTGCAGCGCAACAGTCTGCTCGAGCCACCGGGAGAAATGCTTGTTGGCGTCTTGACCACATGAAAGTGAATGAACGCACGCGTAAGATAAATCGAAACCAAAACGTTTTCGAGATGAAGGCGGGGAGCACGTGGCATTGTTTCCCACGCTCAGCCCACACCTACGTCGTATTGTTCCTAACTAGCAGGCCATATTGGCGAGTACAATGCTTTGTATAGTTGTACGATGCATAACTGTGTAGTACTTAATGTCCTTGTTTGAATTTTGTACGTGCATTAGTGAGAGCGGGGGTTGAAAATACTGGGTCGAGGGAGAGGGTCTGGATTTCCAGGTAGGGGGGGCAACCCCTCCAGCAATGAAAAATGATAGAGGAGTTGTTAGCAAGTGAGGACTTGTCCCTTGATTTTTATTCGACGCGTGTGCGGCGATGGCGCAGCCATCGATCGAGGGTCGAATTCGAACCGCGTTGTGTGATCGGCATCGCGCTCGCTGAAGGTGAATGCATTCAGGGAATTCGTGTACTGTATACGCAACTGCGCACAATTCTGTGAGTCACTTATAACCGCTTTGCCGTTACTTATTGCCAATTATGGACTCAGACTATTGTCCTATCATCTCATAGAGTCCCTGGCACATAATAATATGCTACACAGTGGCAGTGGGGGTAGCAAAATGCCGATTTATTACTAATAAACTCCAATGATCCAATCGAAATCCCTAATTTCGATCGGATCATTGGGGAGGGGGGGCACGTGCCACCCCCCACATTTCCGCCACATAGCCACCCTTGTACTCTGTAAAACTGGGTTCACACAACACGGCCTTTGCCCAGAACACATCCCCCGTGCAGAGCTTGGGTCAGGTGTACATTACAATGCACTGTGCATTGCACTATGTGGTGTGGTGTGAGTGGGTGGGTGGTGTTTGGCTCGGGTGGAGGGTTGAAAGGCTACCATGAGATTAAGACAAAGGGTGGCCAAACCGTGGCTCGCAAGCTGCATGCGACCACGGTGGGGGGAGAAGGGGGTTGGGGGGGGCGAGTTAGGACGCACGCAGCTCGTGTTGAACTTTTTTTGATATAAACTTCAGTTGAAAGAGAAGCGAGCGAGCAGCCCGGTTTACTCGGGGACCCGGCGGCGGTGCCAGAGACACTGAGTGGAGTGCTCCCGGAGCGTCCGTTCCCCGTACGATCCAAACGCGCGACTCCAGCACAGCACAGCGCGAGTGAACGGGGCCGCGTGTCCCGTGGCTCTGGGCCGCTCGAGGAGGTTGGCGTTGTGGCTCGTGAGGTTCAGGAAGTTTGGCCACCCCGTGCCTCGAAAGGGGTCACGTTCGTTTGAATTTATCTCTCTCCTCTGCTCCGGAGGGATCCGCTATGCACTAAAAACGCAGGCGCATGTTGAAGCGGCGACTACTGCCTCCGGACGTCAATTGAATTGTAATGATAAAATAAAAATTGTAATTATATTTAATTGTTTCCCTTCTACGTGACTTTACCGAAAGAACCAAGAACATGAATCCCTGCAGTCACGAAAGCTTTAAATCAAAATTTATATTTATGAAGCCTATATTATATAGGGGCCGTCCATAAATGACGTCACGCACCTAGGAGGGGGAGGGGGGTCAGACATTTGTGACGATGTGTGACAAAGGGGGGAGGGGGGGTTTGAGAAATGTGACGTCACATCAAAATGAGCAACTTTAAATAAATATTAATTAAATAGAATTGTTATAACATCACTAATTTTGATTAATTTTCATTATTAAGTATTTGATTATTTAAATTTACTAAGGTCACCTTTTATTTATTCCATGAAGGAGCATTTTGCTTCTCCATGGGAGAATGGAAAAGCATAAATTTAGTAAATTTTTTGAATGATTGTTATAAAAAATTTTGATTCGAATTATTCTACCGGGACTTTTCATTCTGTGAAATGAAAATATGTGATTGTTATAATTGTACTCTCCATTTTGCTTGGTTCTACTACAAAGTATTTATATAGTTATAATTATTTTTAGTATTTTAGAATTAAAAGAGAATTTAATTATAATATGCCGAACATCTGCAGTTTTAGTTAGACGTTGAATATTTTCAAGTAAATTTTATGCTACATTTCAGCTTTCTAACGCCTTTTTAATAAATGTTTTCTCCTACAACATCAGAGTGGAGCGCCACATTAAATACGCACTACAATGACAATAGTTTAAAGTGATTTGAAGCATGTTTTATTTTAAAAATGGAAATATGGTTTGGGGGGGGCAGAGCTTTGTGACGTAATATTTCAGGGGGTTCTGACTTTTTGTGACCCCGTGTGACGAGTGGGAGAGGGGGGGGGGTAAAAAATCGGCCAAATTCGCGTGATGTCATTTATGGACGGCCCCATTGGACGTTAACGACGCGTCGGTTGCGCCGACGAAGGTAAAGGGTTGTTAGAATGCGTTGGTGCGCTGATGTCGCTGGAGTCTGCTGGGCTTCGAGAGCTGGCGCCACTTGCTGGTCAACGCACCTGCGTGGTGAGAACATCGGAGCTGGTTAACATCAACGCAATCACCACAACGGTTTCAAAATCGACAGAGTAAAGGTGCCAAATCTTGCAGTATTTACAGAGCGCCGAAGCTCACATCGCTTTACATAGGCTAGAAGCGGTCGCAAGCTTCGAGTGATTTAGATGGCAAAGGGGCATGCAAGGTTCCGAGGGAATGAGAGTGACTGTAGCAGAGGGGCACGTGGGGATCACGAAAGCATACCTGTCAACCCCTTCTCAGTGCCTACCTTATTACAGACCAATTCACACCTTATTGGCCACCCCGTGCCCTTATAAATCTCAACGTTCATCCTACAAAGTCCCATCACAAGGCAGACACAAACAAATAGACAAAACAAATGTTGTGCGTATTGAAACGGCTGCACGCCATATAGACCTGAAAACGCAATTTCCCGAATACGGGTAAACCATATGGGTTGACAAGTATGCAAAAGGTATATAAGGAGGGACGGGACGGAGTGGAGGGGCGAGGGGAGGGAGAAGGAAATAAAGTAGCCTAACTATAGAGTGTGCAAGTGGTGCAACTACACCAGGGCCCCCAGTGGGCCACGTGGCCCACTGGGGGCCACGTGGCCCTGATCATCGAGCTACGAAGAGGCAGGGATGATTGGACAGGAGGTGGCCCCATTTCATTCTGTGCACGAGGGCCCATGCTAGTCAAGCTGTTGTTAGCACCCTGACTCGTTCTCCAGTCCTTGCACCTTCCCAGAGGCACATGGGGCCGCACATCTTTTTGACAACATGCCGAACATCTGGCAAGGGCTAGGTTACGTCCGATCAGGCCAAATTAACCCACTTGTGCCTGCCAAAAAAAGCAAACAAATAAAATATTCATTCCACTGTACAGCTTGTAACAAAAAATATCACAATTTTGTTGACAAAATAGCCGTTCTGAAAAATCATGCCTCCCAGCATCTCATGTTTCTCCATGATTATCACCTTCTCTCCCAAGGACAGCCACGGTTTATTTACAACAAAGTAGTACATTGAGTCAATGACTTACGAACTTTCACGAACTTACAACAAAGTAGTGCATTGAGTCAATGACTTACGAACTTTCAGAGATACGAACAAACCTGGTCCATATGTCCAGTTGCCTGTTCGGACTGAGAGTCGTAAGTTCAACCGCCGCGCAATAGATGGCGGGTGGCGGCATCTACATCTACAGAACATGAAGAACCAGTGGCATCTACATCTACAGAATGTGAAGAACCAGTGGCATCTACATCTACAGAATGTGAAGAACCAGTGGCATCTACATCTACAGAACATGAAGAACCAGTGGCATCTACATCTACAGAACGTTATGAACCAGTGGCATCTACATCTACAGAACATGAAGAACCAGTGGCATCTACATCTGCAGAACGTGAAGAACCAGTGGCATCTACATCTACAGAACATGAAGAACCAGTGGCATCTACATCTACAGAACGTGAAGAACCAGTGGCATCTACATCTACAGAACATGAAGAACCAGTGGCATCTACATCTACAGAACATGAAGAACCAGTGGCATCTACATCTACAGAACATGAAGAACCAGTGGCATCTACATCTACAGAACATGAAGAACCAGTGGCATCTACATCTACAGAACATGAAGAACCAGTGGCATCTACATCTACAGAACATGAAGAACCAGTGGCATCTACATCTACAGAACATGAAGAACCAGTGGCATCTACATCTACAGAACGTGAAGAACCAGTGGCATCTACATCTGCAGAACGTGAAGAACCAGTGGCATCTACATCTACAGAACGTGAAGAACCAGTGGCATCTACATCTACAGGAGATTATACAACTTTTAAAGCCATGCCCCGTGTTCAGTGTATATGTCGTTCAACATGTTTGAAATGGACAGGAGTAAAGTTGGACTCACGAACAAATCGACTTACGAACAGAAATCTGGAACCTAACTAGTTCGTAAGTAGAGGATCTCATTGACCCTCATACAAAGTTTTAACTCACAACTTTTCCAATATGCAATATTTTGTCAAAGGCCTCTCCATGCCAGGTCAATCATGGGCGGTTGTTTGACCATACTTCGCCACACTGGTGGGTGTGGTTTCGTGAAAGGAGAGTACCAGGATTGATTCAGATATCAGTCTTGCTGCACTCTCATCTTTGTTTTGGTTTTTGTTATTTTGTTGACCCTTGACACCCTTGCAAATCAGACTACACACTAGCCTATTTGAGTTCTCAGCTGGTTAACAAAAGAAACTTTAACCTGAACTTGAGCTTCCTTGAGCTCATGTTAGCCACGGCCGAGAATTAAACTCAGGTCGCCGGGTCAGAGCATAGTACACTCAACACTGCACCTCTTTAGACTAACTAATGCTTTTAAAATACAGCCAACACTATGTTAATTGGTGTACGTGCTATAAAAAGGGCTGTTGCCGTAAAACGTCACCTGTTATATCGTTTTCCTTTTGAGGCCAGTGTTATTGACAAATCTGTTGATTTCTTGTTAACTGTGTTAATTGATGTTGGCGAGCATTGTCTGTTACGCCACACACTTTCTCGTAATAGCAGTTTCAGCCGTGGGCCACCTCCAGATCTCACGGCCCCGACACCATGCTATCGCATCATGCTTACGGTTACCAATCGGCACAGTGGCGTGGTGTGTATGGCGTGGGCCCTGGGACAAGTAAGGACATTGGTGTCCCCTGTAGCCCGGCACCTGGACCCCCCCCCCCTGCCCAGAAACCTTGGTGCAGGTGCACCGCCTACACACACCCAGAGAGCTACATCACTGAATCAGCAGGCCACAAAACCTCACAGGCATGCATTTTGCTCCACAGTCCACCTTGCAGAGGAACTAACTGCATCCAGAGTACCTCTCTTGCTATGGCTGTGGCTACGATTCACGTGCTACCTGCTCCAGCCACGCAGAAATTGTTCAGTGAAAAATTGGCAAAATTTGTGGTTGTAGATCAACGCCTCGAGCAGACAGAAGCGCAGAAAATGTCACCTCTGGAACTATGCTCCTCGCCTTCATCGTTCTGCACTAACCAGCGTGGTGAAGTTTGGTCTAATAACCCTCATGATCCACGTGGTGTGGGGGAGGCCCTCATCTAGCAGAGGATTAACACAGGTTCACAAAATGCGACACTGTCAAGAGTCGCTGTTACTCCCAAGGGCTAACGTCCGATCGCAGGTTTGAGCACGTGCATTGTCTTCTGTACGACCGCCTCCTGGGTTCACGGAGCTCAACAAAATCGACCACTAAACAATTACAATGTCACGTTTTCACGTGAGGCAAAGCCACCACCATCGGGTCTGCTGCAAGTAGCCCCATTCAAAGAAGATTTGGGAATCCACTGTGACATGAATTCACAATGGGGGCTAAATCGACATGGGAGCCATCATAAAAGTCCTTTTTCGCGCTGTATTGGCATGACCGTGCATGCCACTTTGTCGTACTCTCGCCCGAGCCCTGGATCGACTTGCATCACTGCAGTGATTCGAGCTCAACATGTGGACCCAGGTTGTCAGATGGCCGAGAGTCTCGTCACCAGCAAGGGTCATCATCTCACTATTGGTGCAGCCTGTGGGACGTCCAGACCCGTTCGGGCGCACACGTAAATGTAGCCATATCATGTTATGTTTTTTTTTTACATATATAAATGTATAGACGTCTGTGCCAATTGCTTCTGAATACGTGCCAATTTAATCGCGTGTGTCGTTGTGATTACCTCTTGTTCAACAGACAAGTGGAAGTCTGACCCGTTGGCTCTCAATCGGCGAGATCCAGAGCACCAGATCCACTCTATTACCTGCCTAATGTTGTTGAGGGTACAACCGTCTGTTCCAGAACATTGGCCATGGGGAGGATATTCTTTCTCATTGCTTCCACCCACACAACTTGAAGCATCACAATCACCAGTGCCAATGCCTCTCATTCATTACACACCCTTTCCAGCCCTTTAATCCAAGCATGGAGCAGACGTCACTGTCTCCTTAAAATCTGACGCCTGCTGCTGTATATTTGGAGTTTGCGTGTCTCTCTCCCCGTGGTCGCATGGATTTTTCTCCAGGTCCTCTGGTTTTCCCTCCACATTTAGAATCACGCATTTAGAGTGTATGGCTGCGATACATGCTCACGTGATAAGCCACTTCGTTGAGCTATCATTTGTGGCCAGGACGCTTCTAAAAAAGAGCTATATAGCTCAGTGGGCCCTTACCTGGTAAAAGAACAAGTTTAATAAATGTGAAGATAAGAGTCCTTGTGCGAAATAAGGCTGAGCTTGCCACGACAAGCACATGAAGATCAGTAGCAGTCCCTCATTTTATGGAAATCCCTGGTACTAAATACAGTGAGGGAAAAAAGTATTTGATCCCCAGCTGATTTTGTACGTTTGCCCACTAACAAAGAAATGATCAGTCTATAATTTTAATGGTAGGTTTATTTGTGAGTGACAGAATAACAACAACAAAATCCAGAAAAACGCATGTCAAAAATGTTATGAATTGATTTGCATTTTAATGAGGGAAATAAGTATTTGACCCCTCTGCAAAACATGACTCAGTACTTGGTGGCAAAACCCTTGTTGGCAATCACAGAGGTCAGACGTTTCTTGTAGTTGGCCACCAGGTTTGCACACACCTCAGGAGGGATTTTGTCCCACTCCTCTTTGCAGATCTTCTCCAAGTCATTAAGGTTTCGAGGCTGACGTTTGGCAACTCGAACCTTCAGCTCCCTCCACAGATTTTCTATGGGATTAAGGTCTGGAGACTGGCTAGGCCACTCCAGGACCTTAATGTGCTTCTTCATGAGCCACTCCTTTGTTGCCTTTGCCGTGTCTTTTGGGTCATTGTCATGCTGGAATACCCATCCACGACCCATTTTCAATGCCTTGGCTGAGGGAAGGAGGTTCTCACCCAAGATTTGACGGTACATGGCCCCGTCCATCGTCCCTTTGATGCGGTGAAGTTGTCCTGCCCCCTTAGCAGAAAAAACACCCCCAAAGCATAATGTTTCCACCTCCATGTTTGACGGTGGGGATGGTGTTCTTGGGTCATAGGCAGCATTCCTCCTCCTCCAAACACGGCGAGTTGAGTTGATTGATGCCAAAGAGCTCCATTTTGGTCTCATCTGACCACAACACTTTCACCCAGTTGTCCTCTGAATCATTCAGATGTTCATTGGCAAATTTAAGACGGGCATGTATATGTGCTTTCTTGAGCAGGGGGACCTTGCGGGCGCTGCAGGATTTCAGTCCTTCACGGCGTAGTGTATTACCAATTGTTTTCTTGGTGACTATGGTCGCAGCTGCCTTGAGATCATTGACAAGATCCTCCCGTGTAGTTCTGGGCTGATTCCTCACCGTTCTCATGATCATTACAACTCCACGAGGTGAGATCTTGCATGGAGCCCCAGGCCGAGGGAGATTGACAGTTATTTTGTGTTTCTTCCATTTGCGAATAATCGCACCAACTGTTGTCACCTTTGATTTAAAGCTTTCGTGACTGCAGTGATTCATATTCTTGGTTCTTTCGGTAAAATCACGTTGAAAGGAAACAATAAAATAATAATATATATAAAACAATATATTTTATTATTTTATTGTTTCCCTTCAACGTGACTTTACCGAAAGAACCAAGAATATGTCGTCACCTTCTCACCAAGCTGCTTGGCAATGGTCTTGTAGCCCATTCCAGCCTTGTGTAGGTCTACAATCTTGTCCCTGACATTCTTGGAGAGCTCTTTGGTCTTGGCCATGGTGGAGAGTTTGGAATCTGATTGATTGATTGCTTCTGTGGACAGGTGTCTTTTATACAGGTAACAAGCTGAGATTAGGAGCACTCCCTTTAAGAGTGTGCTCCTAATCTCAGCTCGTTACCTGTATAAACGACACCTGGGAGCTAGAAATCTTTCTGATTGAGAGGGGGTCAAATTCTTATTTCCCTCATTAAAATGCCAATCAATTAATAACATTTTTGACATGCGTTTTTCAGGATTTTTTTGTTGTTATTCTGTCTCTCACTGTTCAAATAAACTTACCATTAAATTATAGACTGATCATTTATTTGTCAGTGGGCAAACGTACAAAATCAGCAGGGGATCAAATACTTTTTCCCTCACTGTATATCCCAAGTAGCCTCTTATCCGATTGAAGATATATAGAGTATATTATGTCATTGATATATAGAGTATATCATGTCATTTATATATAGAGTATATTATGTCATTGATATATAGAGTATATTATGTCATTGATATATAGAGTATATTTTGTCATTGATATATAGGGTATAGTATGTCATATTGTCATTGATATATAGACTATATTATGTCATTGATATATAGAGTATATTATGTCATTGATATATAGAGTATATTACGTCGTTGATTTGAGATGCGTACGACTTCGGTCATGGATCATCGGTTGGACAACTCTGAACCCAAATGTAACCTCGGTGGAGTGCTGGGCTGCGTCCCTTTCAGTGGAGAGGGAAAGCGATCGGTGCTTAGAGCCCGCTTCGGTCAGACACAAGGGAACATCGACTGCGCTCACTGTCATTGGAGAGATGGGCCGTGGGTGGCCGGGACCTAACATTATTATTATTATTGCCGTCATACAAACATCAACGTGTAAGACTGGATTATTTTAAAGGCCTTTGAAACAAATGCATAAACACACACTGCGACAGTGTGAGAGTGACTAAGGAATCGGTGCTGTTGTTTGGTCCGTAATTGCGTTCACAGTTAACATCCACTCACACCCGCTTTCTTTTCTCTTTCTCATGGACTACGATACTACGTTCATCTGGGGGAAAAGATGTGGTCCATAGTCCCATTCCTCATCCATTCACTCGTAAATTTGCTGGTTGATTGGCAGAGATTGACTGGTGGTTGATGGAATAGAGGAGGCAAGAGGTACAAGAACTCGAGTTTGAAATCTCTGCTACAGCAGAAGTCCGTGTGATCAGGGCTTCATTTCTCACTGATTATATAATTATTTTCCCCGTCACTAAAATTCTGGGAGGTGGCACGTGGCTTAGAGTCACAGCAAGAGCGAGAGGCATACTGGATGTGTGGTGTTGCTGGATTCACGAACCCATTGTGTGGAAGTTCAAGTGTTACCCTCTGGTGTGCCTGTGTGGGTTGTTATCTGAATTCTCCAGTTAACGCTTCCTACGTAAAGTTAAAACAATAAAATACAGAATCGACCAGATGTCCAGATGTAACAAAGCCACGATGACTCGGTAAACGAGGCTTTCCTGGATAAAATTAAGTTCGCTCATTGAGTGATCGATTTACATTGATGTACAGTATGTGTGTGTACTGGATGTTGAACTTCTTTCGCACCGTACGTAGCCAACCGTGCTAATGGTATGTGTTGCTCATTGATCATCGTTCCCGTTGTTTATTTTTCCGAAGTTCCCTCGGACTCTCGGTTTCCATTAGCCCTGCTGTGTGTGCAGTCAGTAGAGTCCTTCTGCCGTTGATCTTTCGTTTCTTTTCATTTCCTTTTTCTTTCCTTCCCTGTCTTCCTCTATCCTCCCCCCCCCCTCCGCCCAATGTGTTTTGTATTTTCCATGCAATTTGAAAGTTCCTTTGAGATGCCGCGGAATTCAAACGATTGAAATAAGTTCTCGCTAAATACTTTCCGCGTCACTATTAAGACAAGGTACGTGGCACGTGACTAAGTAGCCACAGCCATAGGTACAGTATGATGGATGTGGTGTACCATATTCTTTGGGTCTTTCGGTAAAGCCACATAGATATAAAAAATAATAACAATATCACCACGGTTCGATTGCAACACAAGCAATCGTCATCAGGTGAAAAAAGAGGGAGAAATCTGCCGAGGCAGGCTGTTTATAAAGGTTTAGAGATGGGCGGGGCAGCTAATGTTAATGTAGGAGAGGTCTCTGTAACCTGCAGTAGGTCTACACCAATCAAAGAGCTGTTTATAAATGTTTAGAGATGCTTGTAAATGTAAGCTTGTAGAGAGCAAGGAAAGAGCCATCGCCACATGGAGGTGGAAAAGGATGGAAAGCCGCCATTTACTAACACAGCTAACGGTGACTCAGAAACGAAGCTGTGGGGGTGGCCATTGTATTGTGAGAGATTAGAATGTCAATGTAAGAGAATAGCATGTCAATGTGAGAGATTAGCATGCCAATGTAAGAAATTAGCATGTCAATGTAAGATATTAGCATGGCAATGTAAGAGATTAGCATGTCAATGAAACGGATTAGCATGTCAATGTAAGAGATTAGCATGTCAAGGTAAGAGATTGCATGTCAATGTAAGAAATTTGCTTATACATGTAAGCTCGGAAAGAGCCATCACCACATGGAAGTGGAAATTCTTCAACCACATAAATTCCATACACCCAGCCATCAAATTCACCATGGAGGTGGAAAAGGATGGTAAGTAACCATTCTTGGATGTTTTAATCGAAAAGAGACCAGATGGCTCGAAAGGTAGACAAATGCCACTGCGAGGATGAAAATCGCAGGTGCGGAAATGGGGGAAAGTGCAATGTACGTGACGGTGGATATTAAAGTGTAGACCACGACGATGGAATAAATGCAAATCCCTACCCTTTAAACAAAAGGCATCATTACGTTCATCATAATAATCATCATCATCGGACTCTCACCCGTGATGGCCCCGGGCACGGCAGGCTGCTTGGTGGTGAAATCGTCGCTGATCCTCCGGCGTCTGCCGAGGCCATGCGACTGCGACAGCACGCAGTCCACATACACGTCCCAGAACAGCTGCGCCAGCTCCCAGAACATGCTGGCCTGCTGTGGGTCGCCGGATAGACGCAGCCGCACCATGGCATCCCACAGGCCCCCGCCCCCGGGCGCCGGGCGCAGCGCAGCCACCCGAGTGCCCCCCAGCTCGCGCATGGCCAGCGACGACAGCTCCCAGCAGCGGGGGTCCAACTTGCCGAGCTGCGACAGCAGATCCGAGCCGAACGGCTCCGCGCGGGCGCCGCTCGTGTCCCCGGCCCCCACGCCGGGCCGGACTCTGGCGCCGCACGGCAGCGGGACGAGCGCCAAGAGCAGCAGCAGCGACGGCAAGAGCAGCAGCAGCAGCCGCGGGCAGTGGGGAACCGTCACGGGCATCTTCTTGCGATACACCTGCCGGCTCGGGTGGCAGGGACGGCGAGCGGACCTTAGGTCAACCTCGCCGGGGGGTGTTTGTGTGGTGGAGTTCGGATGCGTGGGTGGGGTGTGTTGGTTCGGTAGGTGAGCGGGTAGTTAGGTGAGTGGGTCGTTACGTTGGTGAGTGGGTTGGTGGGTGTGTGTGTGAATGGTTGGGTAGGTGAGTGGCTGAGAGGGTAGGTGGCTAAGTGTGTATCGGGTTGGGTGAAGACGGTATCGTGGTAAAACGGTGGAAAAGCTAAAATTAAGAAATGCAGTTGTTGAATATTATAAAGTTGATACATACAGCAAGTGAGATTAAAGAGGCTCAAAGTGAGTGCTGCAGAATAAATATTGGCGGAGAGAGAAGACATTTGCCTCCTGGAGAATGAAAAAGAATTACGTTTGAGAGGGAGAGACGTTAACATTGAACCCAACTGAGCTACAAGGTCACGTGCCGTGGATGACACGAGCTAAAGACAAGTGTAAAACAACACGTCCGTGAATAATAATATTCATGGTGAAGGCATATGTCTGTAACGTCGGACGTTGAAGAAAGGACAATATCATCATCAAGACCCAACCACACTTGGCAAGTCACCAGCAGCTGCATCAACCATCTGACTGTTGAACCATCTGCACTGTTCGAGACACGGTGTGCAAGCAACGACTTCACATTCGTCGCACACACACTGTGACTCAGAAGATTCCGACGTGTCCACCGTGTCACCTCAACGCGAATGTGAGAGACCGTCTGCTACAGACTGTGCCTGAAATCAATACGAGCTCATACATATCACTCCCTGACATTCCTAACCATCTCATAACGATAATATCATCATCACGTATTATACTGATACCAGAACATAAGATAACGGGTCTTAGAGTCTGTAGTGCCAACTGTATTCTGAATATAATGAATGCACCCAATATTAACCGTGCTTCACATCAAAAGCTAGTACTGATTTTTTTTTTAAATAAGAGACTTGTTTGTATGAAAATCTCTCTCGGTGTGTGTCGCTAAACAATGTGTCAAATCCATCCATTGCACGCGAGATATGAAAAATCTGGACAATAGGTTTGGCTTCTGTCACTGTGTATAATGAATCGATCATGCCCTGGACAAACGACAGATACCTTCCAGAACGACGTGGTTTCTGGGCATGCACCGTGGTGGGTGTGTGGTGGTGGTGATGATGATTGGCATGGCATGAGACACGAGTGGGGTTGGTCGTAGATCAGATGGTTGCCTACCCCAACAAACAAAAAAACAACCGAGGAATGAGCTACACTCCACGGGTGCAAATTTTAGCAAAATAAACGGACGATAACACAAGCACCTCCCCACGTGGCCTCTGAGTGTGTACTTTGCGTGGCGCAGGTGATGGCGTATAAATGGAATGGCTTTTGTTCAGAGGAGGTGCGGATGTGAAGTTTCTAGCTGCAGATAATGAGTGCCGTGAACGCCAAAACTGGAAAGCGAATCACGTGAGTTAAGAGGAGGGGCATGGCGTGGCAGGTTTAGTTGGGCAGGGGTCGTGTCTCGTGGGACGGCTTCGTTTAGAAATGGATTGAAGCAAGATGAAAGTCGCTGTTTCCTTCAAAACAACTTCATGCAAGTTTAACACGGAGAAAGAGGCTTTTGCGACCAATATTATCCATAATAAAGGTTTTTTTGGGTTAGATCGGGTAAATATGATGTCATTAAAACCCACCACCACCCGACACAAACAATTGGTAAGGCGTTATCACGTAAACAAAACGTGCCAATTCGTTAGTCGTTCAGCACACCGGTTGTGTATTGGAGAGTGAACCCGACTACAACATTTACAATTCGAGTACTGTAACGTTTCGCCGGTAATTACAACAACAACCAGCAGTATCATCAGGCTACTGCCACAGCGCTCTCTATTATGGATAACTTCGTGAAACTCCATTCTCCGATGGCAATTAGACTTTTTGTTAACTCTTTCTCTTTGACAGCGTTGATGGTGCCGTTTGTTTCTGGCCACTTGACGTTTTGGGCCTATACTCAGCAACTGTGTTGATACGAAACAACATCACATACACACTCATCCAGTCAACTACAAGGCAGAGACCCACAGGCTCGCAAAAATACCCGGAGACTGACGCAGTAGTCCCAGGTGCTAACGTAGAAGCCCTAGAGACCCACGTGGAGACCTGTAGACTTACGCAGGGTGTTCACAGGAATTTCCTGACATGGTGTTAAGTTTGGTCACGTGACCAGGAAGTGACGATTTAAGATTCTCTAAGCCATGAGGCATGGTGTCAGCCATTACACAGAGTACAAAATGGAGGCACAAATAGCATCTCAGTGAAGACAGGTGTATCTGTTCATTGTGGGGACTTTAAGAAGCATTCTCTGTAAGTTTGTTTATGTTCTTATAATACTGGAAATGCAGTTATGTTAGGATCGCCGTCATAATGCTGTAAAAGCCTTTAAAATGCTGTTAAATTATGATAAATATGAGGCCTAGTTAACAATGAAGCCTGCCACTTGCATTTTTGTGACTGTTACTTGTAATTGAATAAATCGAGTCAGATTTGTACCCATGTAACTTTAATGTGATCTTGAGAGCAAGGATTAACAAGTATCTCATCCACAGTTCAGTGTTATGTGCAGCGCTGTACATTTAGGCTGCAGTATGGTTATTACACGATGTGACCTTATTTAACACTAGCTTATTCTCTTGTATGGCTATTCAGTACCAAAGTAGGTGCCTGGTCCATCCAGGACCTATTGTTGAGATTCATATTATCTAAGACAATGTTATGATGCTCCTTGTGTTCATTCATTGTATCGATATTGCAAGTATTAACAGATGCTGTATTTTGTGCTGTGTTATTCCATCAGTTTTACCTCGTTTAATTCATTAAATACATCGGAGTTGGATGTTCACCCTGGCTCTGAAAGTTTATTGAATGCCAGGTTAACTACTCGGATAGTGGTGCAACGCAGCGCACAGTGATGCCGAGACACGGGGACTCATAGACTCCTCAAACGTAGATTCAATGAGAAACTGGAACGGCCTGCCAGTGACGTCATACTCAGTGCTTTCTCACATAAAGAACCGTACGCTCACACGGAGACCCATAAACTCACATAGAGACTCACAGACTCACATGAAAACCCATACTAATTTTTGTGTTTAGTTTGTTGTCCTTCCCCCGCACCTCCAATTCACATGGTTGGCTACGTACGGTGCGAAAGAAGTTCAACATACAGTCCATACATACTCTCACATAGAGACACAGTCACATGCAGATACCCACTGAGAAACTGAGATTCTATGCCAGTGCCGTCATCATCAGCGCAAGAGACCCGTAGACTCGCCCATACAGCTATTGACTCACACAGAGACCCATACACTAACACAGTCGAGACTAATACGCTCACACAGGGGCCCATAGACTCACACAGAGACCCACAGACGCACAGAGACACCCACTGAGAAACTGGAATGCTCTGGCAGTGGCGTCATCACCATCAGCGCTTCCTCCAGCACGCGGCCCGCACGCAGCTCCCCAGGAGAACTGGCCTGGTGGGAGTCCAGCGATGGTGGTGCATCGTCGACACATGCTACCTTTGAGTTGCAATCACCTATCGGTCCACCTACGCTCATTACATTACACACTCTAGCCTACACAGGTTTTAATAACGAGACACGAAAAGTACTAGGCATGAAACGGTGTGCATCGCTTAATCAATTAAATATTTCCTTGGGGCGAACACAACGGTAAAAACGAGACAGAACAAACGAGGAACGATACAAAGCGAGACGGAAAACCCAAAACAATAGACGGTTGAACCTAATCACGATCCTAAAATACGACCTTAACACAGCTGGAATAGGATGGAGGTGGTGATCGCTACCTGCCTAATAAATAGCAACTTTGTTTCACTAACACCACTCTGTGGAATGCCCAGTGATTGTCATAGCAGACCGGTCCCCGTCATAGAAATGTGGAATTTCCACAACTGGCTCGAAGCCACCAACAGAGATGCGCACCACCTTCTCGGTCACTTGAGCAAGGGGATAGTTTGACTTCTTGTAAAGACTTCTGCGTACTTACAGTGTACGTAAGGCAACTTATGAATGCACCTTAATAGGAGGATGCACAATCTGAGCACATCACCTGTTGCGACGTGGATCAAATGCGTGGGAAAATGACAGCGAAAACGAAAAACGCAGGAAGACTGCGCGAACACCAATGGAGAAAAGGATGCAGGAAATTGCCCTTACGTGGATTGAAGAACATACGCAGGTTAGAGGCGTCGTCATGTCGACTGTTAGGGAAAGTAATTGGGTAAGGACAACGTCACTGGAATGGATGATGGTCGGTGGTCGAGACTGATTACGGAGTGGCAGCCAAAGGCGCCATCTGAGCAATGTGTGTACGCCGAACTTCCTTCGCACCGTACATAGCCAACCGCGCTAATCGGAGGTGTGTGCAGGTGCTAGATATGGATTGGTTACGTCGCAGGACTGTGACAGACAGTGAGGACGTGGTGAAGCCTTCCTTCCACCAGTGGGCTGATCATAGCTGATGATGATAATAAGAATAACGATGGCTGAGGAGGGTATACGCAGCGTCAACGTGCGATACGGAACACGCCTTTGCTCACGTTCCCCTGCACGTGTGGACGAAAACGGCCGGGACACGGTCGTGCCGCTTTCGCCCTTCACCTTCGTGGTGGTGACGGAAACAGCGGCACGGTGTCGCCATGCAATTCAGTCGAAGAGGAGCAATGCGGCAATCAGGCGTGAATCTGAACCCCCGTGAATTGTTACGAGCCTACAGTGTCGTGGTATGCTCTTAGCCTCTTGAGCCACGCACCGCCAAGCAACTGGGTTCGGATCTGGGTTACAGGCTTGAGAATTTTGGTGAAGCGAGGTTCTAAAGCTGTTGCGAGTTCATGGGTTTCAGGTTGGTCACAAATTGACTGCACATACACACACACATATAAACATCACACTATCTGCGCGGACTTTCACCGAAGATGACGAATTTATTGCTCTGAGAAAGTAAAAAAAAACAATCTTGGTTTAAGTTCAATATACTTGTATGTGCGTGGGGTGAAAGGGTCTCAATGAAGGGATCTAAGTACAGTAGTTCTGTGATTTCTCCTTCTGCGGGCCGTTTTTTTCTTACACGGCGCGTGGCACCGCTTTGCGGCAGTTCCGAGACAAAGTTAATGTTTAAATTAAACATAATTAAGGTCGCTCTACGGAAAGCAGCATGCGATGCTGTTGCTCCTGATGAAGACCACAATGATAATAATGATAATCACCATCATCATCTCTCTAAGCGCTTAATGTTTAAACAACGCATTGCAGATAATGACTTATTTAAATTCAAGGCGTTTTAAAAATGAGCATTCAAAACCGAAATTCACGATGCCTGCAACCAATCAATCACATTATTGTGCAATGGTCTTAAGCTGAATATCGTGGGGGGGGGGTTTACTCGTAATTAATAATAACTTTATTGTGCAATTAATTTCCCGTTCAAACTGCGGTAATAAAAACAAATCAAACGGCCAGTAAAGCTTTGAGATATATGTTTGTGTCGAACCGCGTGTTGTTTGGCGTGATGTCCGACGTTTCAGTACCTGAAACGTGCTGCCAGCACGTGGAGCGAGAAGGCCGAGCATCGTTTCGAACAACACGCGGCACAACCCAAACACATCGGAGAGCCATAACAGCACCACCGCAAAAAAACCCTACAAGGTTGTGCAACAAAATACCCTGCACTATCTAGCGTGGAGCTGCACTTTGTAGTCCCTTGCACAGCCGAACTCCACATTCCTATGGCGGTGCCGAGTGTATCTATAATACAACCACTTTCGACTGGCAATAAAGAGTGGTTTTCAGGTAAACAGAACATACCAATGAATTACTAGTACAGCACACCGGTGTGTTGGAAAGCAAATCCACAACATTTACAATCGGCTGGTTTAACGACACATTTATATATTTACGCGATCTAACCCAAAACAACCTATATTATGGATCATTGGTCTCGAAAGCCTACGTGTTCAACTACTATTTTTTGTATACTTGTAACTTTGTTCGTACATCTATAATGTGATCGTGGTGATCTATGCATTTGACAAAGACTAACCACAAGCGTCTATGACTCCTGTTTGACGTCGTGTGGGAGGATATCAGAGAGAATCTGGAGAAACCCCAAACGAATACGCAAATTCCTGCACGGATGGATTCAAGAATAAATTGCTCTCCTGCCCATCTTCACCTGGCCACCTCGCAGCACCTGACATTCCCATGTAGTCATCCCCCCCACCCCACCCCGTGTATGTATGGTAAACATTCGGATGTATGATGAACACTCGTATGTATCTATGTCTGTTGAACTTGTTTCGCATCGTACGGAGCCAACCGCGCTAATCGGAGGTGCGAGGGAAGGAGCAACAAACTAAACACAAATAGCACCTCTCAATAAATTCGTTTTCAATCTGGATTTAAAAGTGCGTCGCTCCAGTGGATTCCTAATGTCGGAAGAGCGATCCAAACGGCCGCAGAAACGCGTCGATGGCTAACCAAAGGCCGCTGCGAGGATGACCGCGGTTCACGCGATGTTCTATACTCCTCAACGGGATCGGCAAGGTATTGTGGCTCATTTGCGGCGAGTAAGTACAAAGCTAACCGGGGCTGAACTGCGCGTTAGCCTGCGAGTTTGCGACGAGGTGGAGCGCGTTCGGTGTGCGAGCTCGCACAAGAACCCTGGCTTCGATCTTCCCCGAAGCTCATGGGGGCCACAAACCCTAACCCGCATCCAGTGCGCAAACAATGACAGCAGCAGCAGCAGTAGCTGATGATGACGATTAGGATGATGATGATGATGATGCACAAATTGACATTTTAAAAACTCTCTCCGCGCAGTGTGCCATGACCGTGGTCACCAACCCAGAGCACGGAACCACGGCACACGTTGCGACTCAATGCCTCGTTCATATACACGAAGAGGGAGGCATCATCACAGCAGCGATTCACCCCACTCCGCTACTACTTACTCTGCAATCATCTGACCCATCAACCAACTGCATGTACGTTGAACTTCTTTCGCACCGTACGTAGCCAACCGTGCTAACCGGAGGGACAGCAAACTAAACACACACACACACAAACACACACACACAAATGAATGAAACATGAAAGCTGTCGCTCTACATCAACATCATTCACGCGAAGCAGAAGTGTGCGAACCTCAAGAAAACCACGCTTCGCGCTCTCTCTCTCTCTAGCTGTGGTGGTGGCGGTGGTGGCAGTGGTGGTGACTGCGGTGGTGGTGGTGGTGGCGGCGGCGGTGGTGCTTGTGTGGGGGTGTGCGGGACGAGGCAGGCAGGTGGTTACCGTGGCTCGAGTCGTAGAGGCTGCTGCCGTTCCTCGACTCCACGAGATGCCCCTGTGTGGATGTGCGCGCGCGTCGGCAATCGCCTTCATTTATTTCGCCACGGGGGTGGGTGGGGGTGGATGACCAGGGCTGGGCGGTGGGTGGGGTGAGGGTCAGTATGTGTACGTGGTTGTGTGTTTGCGCGCATGTCACGGGGCATGTGCCGGAGCGGTAGTGCGGTTTGTAGTGCAGCGCGCGCTGCACTACAAACCTGGAGACCCGAGTTCGATTCACGCACACGGCCAATACCTACCGGTGGCGAATATGTGAACAGGTTCTGGGCCTCCCCAAGGTCGACTCAGCCTAAGTCGAGCACCTGGTGCGGTGTCTAAACATCACCACTTAGGGAAACAAAGGCGGCCGGGTGTGGTGCTGATCACCCACTCCCTCGTGTACCGTGCCCGCCTTCATCATAAGGTGATCGCTAACAGCACTTCCCCCAAAAGTATGTGAAGGCTATACGGGGTGTGGGGGGGGGGGTCTTTGTATCTGTGTATATGTCTTTGTGTGGCACTGTGGCATTATATTGACAGTATACAGAGGAGAAACATTTGTCTGGGAGTGGCTCGGCCGCACCACAGGTACGTTGCCGTGGTACTCGCTAACACCAATCATCCCAACTATCTGTTTAAAAGGCTCACGCGGGATGTGTTCCCACCCCCCCTTTGTAATAAACATGGCAGAGCGGTGGCGGTAGTCGTTCGCGCACTGTGCTACGACCCCGGCCACCGGAGCTCGACCCTCAGCCACACGAATAGCAAGATATATCCCAACCTTGGCTTCCCGTAGGTCAACTCCGTCTTCAATGAGTACCTGGTGCTCATTGAGGGCAACCGCGTGGCTGACCACAACATCCCCTGGAGTGCTGTCCCGGCATTAATAGGTACTCACTAACCGCACTAGCCCCGACAGTCTATTTAAAAGGCCACACGGCAGATATGTGTCCGTGTGATACACACCCACACACGGCATCTTCCCATGGTGTCGTCTTGTTGTTCCTTGCCAAAGCCTCGGGTTCTGTTCGCATCAGCCATGGTCATCCACTGCTCGACGAAGTCCTCCCCAAGTCGTCATCTAGCACGTGTCCTACGATGCAGCAATCCACCCTGCACACAAGCCGATTTCACCATCGCTCCATCTCCGAGTGGGAAGGGACAACCTCTCGACCTCCCGTCTCCCCGCTTTGCCTGCCACTCCGACGTTATTCTCGACCAACCGGCCATCATCATCATCATCATCCGTTCTGGAGACGTCTCCTCCTCAGCCTCCACGTGCTGTCCTCCAACAGCATGACGCTTTTAGCACCGCGTGTGCGCTCTCATTCACCGGTTCCTCTTCCGGGTCTTCCACGTCATTCCAAGCATGCATCCTTTTGAGATATTGCCCCATTGTATTCGTCATTGTCCAATACGCCCGCCCCGTGTCATAGCAATTAATGCCCACATGGCCCTTGGCAATTTGGTGCATGCTCTGTGTGCGCGCGTGTGTGTGTGTGTACGTTGAACTTCTTTCGCACCGTACGGAGCCAATCGTGCTAATCGGAGGTGCGGTATATAGGAGGTCCGGGAAGGACTCTGCTGGGCAGTTGAAGACAGTCGCCCTCCAATTACAACAGCGGTAGACGGAGAAGCGACGCTCACAACCGGAGAACAGAGCGTCGGGGTGTGGATAAAACGCAGTAAGTTAGCACGGGGGGGGGGGGGGGGGACACGTGAGTTGCATCTGTCAGAGTCATCTCAGTCACATAATCTGAATCTTTATTTAGACTGGAGGAGGAATCCAGCATGGGCACGGGGTCAGCAAGTCACAACGGCAAACAATAACAACAAAACGATAGGAGTGCAAAACACAGAAAATGGTAAGCAAGTAACTAAATATAAATAAATGCATTCGTTACATAAGCAAGTAACTAAATATAAATAAATGCATTCGTTGCATACGTCCGATTTATCGAGATTGGGCAAGGCAGTGAAAACAACCACAAAACAGTCCCAGACCACACCAAAATAACACCCAGCAGGGACTCAATAAAATGGCACACTGACGTTGAACTATCACACCTGGGTCTATCTCGCTACCTCCTACCAGTGATCCTTCCACACCTCACGTGAAGGCCTCACAGAGCCGATAGCCTGGCACGAAGCGATGCGCTGACGTCGCCACAAATTAATGACGAATTGGCGGTCGGTGTCGTCCGATATGGCAAGATAAAGTATTGGTGGAACCTGGATCGTGCTGGGATTGGCTGCCACCACGCATCTCAAGTGATACATGCGAGGCGGGGGTTAGATAGCAGCAGCAGGGATTGCGGCAAAATCAATTGTCGTCCTGCTCCTACACCTGTGCTCCCCTCGCTTTACAAACCTCACTGACTAGAGTGGTGAAGTATGGACAAATAACGCTCACGACCCGCACCGCGTGGGGAAGACCCTCATCCAGCAGTAGATTTACAAAGGGCCGTGGCTGTGTCAACTTATATAATAATAATGCTGCTGCTTGATATACAATGCAATATAATTCATTGCTTGTTCAATCACGAACCGCGCTGTGTCTCCAGCCATGCGTGTGATTTCTGACGTTCAGCCGTGCAGTATTCGCGTTACCCTGGGGGAAACCCCACCGACCGCGCTTCCCTCCGCTGCCATCGTCTGGCCGTCTCCCGGCGGACTCGGGCGCCCTCACAAATCGCCGCGTGGATCTGCCGACCCTCGGGCCTCGCACGACCAAGGGTGGCGGCGGACGTGGCCAAGCGGATGCGCGTTCCCCCCTTTTTGTTTGTTTGCCCCCAGAGTTCAGGGTTCGAATCCATCGGCTGCCCCCGATTGTTACTTGCCGTGTGCAATCACCGCAACAGTAATAGGATCCGTCTGCTGCACAGTGGACCACAGTGAGCCCGTGTCGTCATTCGCATGAGTTGGCCATTGCGTCCAAATGTGCCACTCATTGCGCCCCCTGCTGGCAGACTCGTGCCCCGGGTCACTCTGGCAAAGTGAGACGCATCCTCGTCTCTAGGGTTTTGCATCTGGTTAAACGAATACACCTTGAACGCGCTGCTGTTACAGAGGAAGCGCCTCTGCAACCCGGGGCTACAACATGCTCAACAAACAGCTACAGCTCTTGCAGCTCTTCGACGTGTGTGGGGGTTTTTTTGGCACGATGCCCAACGTTGAAGAAGCTGGAGGCACCCTCCAGCGAAACGTCAGACATCGTGTCGGCCGGCACGCGGTACAATTCCAAAAAATCACGTAAGAGAGCCGTACAGCACATCCGCAAAAACCTGCGTAAAGTGTAGAGCCCGCTAACCGTGGAGGAGACATCTCAGCCCCAACACACAATCTTTGACGAGAAACAAATGCAGTGCACGCACGCGTGTAATGCTTGGAATATCACAGGGTTACGAACATGGGCTGTTTCGTAGCGTGGTTGTGCTCGGAGTGAAATGGACCCCACATGTCCCCTCTACCTAGCGCGGTGCAGACACTTTACCATGTTGACCCCGATGCAGTTGCACCGCCTGCACACTCAAAAAGAACGCCACCTCGCTTGGTAATGTTGTGTGTCTCAGCACACTTTACGTGATGCGGTTGAAACACCTGGTGGTTGGAGGAGGCAATAAATCCCGCCTCTGGATTTCCAGTTTCAGGTGACAATGCGTGCAGGTGAATTGAGATACCTATATATGTTGTACTTACACAGAGACCCAGAAACGCAGATATAGATCCATACAACCACATGGAGACCCATCGAGTAATAAAGAGACACATCGAGTCACAGAAAGATCCACAGCCGCATACAGACCTACTGAGGAACTGGAATGCTACAGCAGTGACATTATCAGCACTAGAAACGCATAGACTCACCCAGAGACCCAAAGAGACTCATAGACTCACAACAGAGACACACAGAGACCCATAGACTCACAGAGAGACCCATAAAACTCACAGTCACCCACGGACGCACACAGAGGCCATAAGACTCACAGACACACCCACTGAGAAACTGGAATGCTCTGGCATTATCATCATCAGCGCTTCCTCCAGCAGGCGGGCTGCACGTAGCCCACACAGTTCCCCAGGAGAACTGGCCTGGTGGGAGCTCAGCACTAATAGTGGTGGTGCTTCGTCATCCCGCGTTACGTTTGCGCTCCATTCATCAATGAATTCGCCTGGGACTTTGGTGGATGGCCGCCAGGGTTTGCCATGTTATGAATGCGTGGGACTGCGAGGTGGCAAGGAGATGACAGTGCTGAGCGTTACCTCCTCGCATAGGCGGTGGGGTTTTCTCCGGTTTCCTTCCACATCGATGCCCACCGCGCACTAACGGAGTTTTCCAAGCATCCCCAATGCAGGACCCACCTTGAAAAGAATATTGAAACCCATTGATAACGCAATAACGGTCCGTATGTGCCATAATCTATTTCACAGCAACACGATATTGTGGCATTTTGTTCCTCGCTGCAGCACGTCAAGGATTTGCTTAATCCAGACTGTCGTGCAAACCGCGTCAACTCGAATATTCCAAATCGTTGTAAGAGTAGAGCGCCTTGGTTTGGATGTCTGAGCCCTTGGGCATTATGAACCAGTCCTGAGCGTCCAGTCGGTCGAGTCGGCTTTATTGCGTTAGTAAATCAGGAAATGGGGAGACAAAGGCGGCCGCACGTGGTTCCGGAAACATCATCAACGTGGCGCGTCAAAGGTGCGACTTGACTCTACGCCTTGTGAAAGACAAAGCGGAGAATGTTTGTGGATGCGCGCTACGGACCCAGCCACCCGGGTTCAATTCCCGCTCACGGGCAACAACAGTGCTGGGCTTCCACAAGGTCGACTCAGCCTCAAATGAGTAGCTGGTGCGGTGTGTAAACATCGTTACTCGGGAGATAAAGCCGGCCGGGCGTGACGTTGGCCTTCAAAAGGTCTGTCAAAGCTATACGGGTGACGTTTTGTTTTGTACGTACGTGTCTACGCGTATTCTCGTTTTTCAGACTCGGACAATCATTTGCGGAGCAGC